GATGTCTGGGGCGTGTGTCTCGGGAGGGGGCCTCTGGTTCCCTCTAGTAGAAAGGTGGCTCACTAAGTGGGACACACTTGGCCCCGGGTCCAGTTGACGGGCTGTCCAGGCCTGTTCCTGTTACCCTCCTGCCCAGTCTCGGGAGACCTCTGGGTGGCCCAGGGGTGGCCGCGGGGCGTGGTGCCAGGACGGGGGGCGGGGGGGCCGGAGGGGGTGTGGCCCGCCGGGCAGGATGGGTGGGCTCAGCGCGGGGCGGGGCGCCCGGACCGGAGGGGTGTGGCCCGCGGCGCAGGGTGGGTGGGCAGAGCGCTAGGGCGGGGCGCCCGGACAGAAGGGGCGGGGCCTGAGCGGCGCAGGAATGGGAGTCCGAGCCTTGAGTTTTGCGCCCAGACCGCAGGGAGGAATTGGGGCGCGGGTGACTGTGCGGTGAGTGCTCCTCTACCCAGCACGGGAGCGCGGGGAGGGGCTGGGCGCCGAGGGGAGCTGTCCCCGGGTCCCGGACACTTGGCTTTTGAGCCGTCCCGGCCGTCGGGCTTGGGGGAAGGGGATGCCCTGGTTTTCCCTTCGGCAGTCCCGGGGTCTAAATGGAGGTTAGAAGGAAAGGGGGAGTCTCGAGGTAGCGGAGCCCCCTGGCGGGCAGCGGCTACAGAGACTGAGTAGGCTTGGGGGCGTGAGCAGAACTTCCAGGCCCCTTGAGCCTTTGAGGTCTGGAGAGAGGCTGTGTATGGCGATCCTGACGGGTTTGAAGGGAGAACCCGCAGAATGAGAAGTCCCGAGGCACGGGGCTGGCCTGGGAATGAGATTTCAGTTCTTAGAGGAAGCCTCCTCAACTCTCAGTCGAGACTCCTCCTCTCTCTGGGCCTCAGTTTCCCCATCTTCATCATGCCTGTGAATGGGTGGGTATAGGTGAGAGAGTGCCTGGATGATATCTAACCCTGCCTGTGGCCTTGTAACTCTTAGGGGAGCCTCCTGCCTCCTTCCCTCCCTTGGTGGGTGTGGAGACCCTCCTCATTCCCATCCCTTCCTGCATGGACCCACACCAGGGCCTGCAAAGCCTTGCATTCTCTGTGCCTTCTGCCCTGTCCTTTGGTCCTCATGTTGGGGAGCAGCCATCTGGTCTTACTTGCTTTCCAGCAGACTAAAAAGCATCCCCAAATCTCCTCCCACAGTTGGATGACTGTTTGTCTGCTCTTGCTTCTCTCCCTCTTTCTGAGCCCATAGGATTCTCCCTCGTGTGGCCTTGATCTCCCCATGGGCTGTTCTTGTCTGCCATGTCACCTGTCCCCTTGGCAAAGACCAGAGTGACACTCCCATTGCCTCTGCTCTCCTGTCCCAATCGCTCTGGCCCTAGGTTTGTTGGTTACTCAGATCCCTTTTGCCAGTCTGGGACCTGAGGCTGGAGGGGACCCCTATTTAGCCCACCCACCTCCCACCTGCTGCATCATCCCTAGTGATGATGACTTATGGGGTGCCTGTTCATTGTCCTGCAGCTCTCATTACACTGAGCTAAAATCGATGGCTTGCAGGTTTCCACCGCTCCGTTCCACTTCTGCCTCCTGGAGCCATGCAGAGTCAATTCATTCTTTTACTCATTCAAATGATCTTTATTGATACACTGGGTGAGACCCTGGGCTATAGCAATAAGAAAAAAAAAATCGGGCAAAACTCCCTGCGTTAATGGAGTTCGTATTCTAGAAAGGAGTAGGACAGCAATCAAGTACATACATGATCTGCCAGGCAGGGAGAAGTGCTATGGAGAAAAACAAAGCAGGCAAGAGGGGGTGAGGGCTGGGCTTGGGTTTGCAGTTTTATAAAGCATAGGCAGGGAGGGCCTCTCCGAGGTGGTGACAACCTGAACAAAGCCTTGAAGGAGATGAAGGGTGAGCTATGTGAATATCTGAGGGGAAGGACAGTGCACCCGTGGAGGGAAGAGCACAGAGCATGTGCAAAGGCCCTCAGGCAGAGGCGTGCCTGGTGGGAGCAGGTCCAGCTTGTTCCAGGAACGAGGGGAGAGGGAAGGGGTGGGGAAGTGGGGGTCCATTGCCTGGGGCCTTGAAGGCCACTTTGGTTTTTACTGGGAGTACAGTGAGAGCCATTGGAGGACTTTGAAGAGAAGAGTCACCTGCTCTGACTCAGGAGTCAGCAGACTAAGACTGTAGGGAGGTGAGGGCAGAAGGTGTGTGTGTGGGGGGGAAGCAGGGAGGGGACCACTGTCATCATTCTGGGGAGAGACCCTGGGGGCAGAGAGGCTGTGGGAAAATATCCGATTTTCCGATTTGGGGTCAGGAGGGTTTGGATGTGAGAGAAAGGTGGAGTCAGGGATGACTCGAAGGTGTTTGGCCTGAGAGTCCGGAAGCTTGGAGCTGCTGAGGTGGGAGCTGTTTAGGGGGAAGAGCCGGAGCGCTGGTTTGTGCTTGTTATGCTCGAGATGCTCATTAGGCGTCCACTGGGAAGATGCCCAGTGGGGGGCTTGCGGGGGCTCTGGAGCTGGAAATAAAATTTGGGGCTGGCATTTAGAGCTGTAAGAGCAGGTGGGCTCAGTTAGGGAGAGAGTGGTATGGAGGAGAGAGACCCAGCCCGGGAGCGCTGGGGCTCCCAGCATCAGGAGCCAGCCAAGAAGGAACGGCCAGCAGGCTGGGAGGAGAAGTCAGAGTTGGGGTGAGGGGGGTGCTGCAAGGAGAGGGAGAGCCATTCTGATAGACGCCTTTGGCCAAGCCAGCTGGTCCAGGGCTGAGAACCCAGCTGAGACAAGAACAGTCTGGGGGGCCCAGGGGGATGCGCCTGGAAGACAGCAGTACAGACCACAGACAGGAGTCCTGCTGTGGAGGGGGTCAGAGAATTGGGGTTCGAGCTGTCTGAGGAAGAGAGGGCTCTACTCTCCTGATGGAGACACTACAGTCTGGGTGCTGGTGGGAAATGGTCCCCCAGAGAGAAGCTCAGGGAAGGGGGTGGAACGGAAGAGGGGCTACAGGAGGGGCAGGGATGGGTCCAGTGCCCCGGGGAAGGCTTGGCCCCAGCTGAGAGTCAGGACAGTTGAGAAACCAAGCTCCCCTGGGCCTCCCTCCTTCTCTTGTCTGCAGGGATCCAGTGGGCTGAGATTTCAGCCCTTAAGCCAATCAGCTGGTTCAGAGCTCCAGAGAAAGTCGGCTGGCTGTGGTCTCAGGAAGGAAGGAGGTGTGTCAGGGCTTCGGCCTAGACCTGGGTTTAGGGGTAAGGGAGGGCCCACGTGGGTTGTCCCTTCCACTTGACTCTGTTTCATGCCTCTTTCTTGGCCTGGGCCTCACCTTCCTCAAGGAAAGACTGTTAAGGACTCCAAAGTTGTAGTAACTCAAGTAAAGAAAAGGCAGTAGAGATAGACTGATTTAGTTAGACTGAAGAGGGGAAGTCTGAACGGGTGATTCGGGGGCCAGAAGCTGGATTTTTAGGGACAATTTTCATGAAATAGGGGATGATTGGTCATCTGTTTTCTCTCACTCCCAATTGAAGCTAAAGCAGGAGAAACTTAAGTTAGACATGATGAAGAACTTCCTGAGCTGGTTATTTGAGGACTGTAGCAAGGCCAGGTCCTCCCCCTGCCTGTTTACAGTAAGAAAGGACAATGTCTGCTCAGAGACAGGGGTCCAACCAAATGGGTCCTTGGGGATTCTTCCTGCTCTGAGGTTTCTGGAAGGAAGCCAGGGAAAAGTTGGGACTTTCCAGCTGCTGGTGAGCATCAGCCTTTAGGGCTCAGGCCTGCTTCTCCTTCCTGGTGTCCACAGATCCTCGATGTTACCAGTTGGGTGTGTGTGGCTCAAGCATTTGTCAGCTGCTGCGGACTTGGTGTGTTTGGGAAGGGCCCCTGCTTACTCCCAGCTTGTCCCCTTGGGGGTGAGCACAACTGTGGGTCTCTCAGTGCAGGTCATGGTGGATGCACAGAATGTTCCAGGGCTTTACACCAGAACTGATGAGAATTACCTAGTTCTGCACAGTGGCTTGGCCACCTCTGGCTTCCAGACCATCCTTTCGGGATTTTCCGGGGAGGTGGGGTCTGTAGGTGAATCTAGACCTGGCAGTCCTGTGCCACTCAGCCTTTGCCTTCCTGCTCAAGGCCGTGCCCGCTCCACCAAGCCTAGTAATCTTTGCAGGGGGAGAGTGTGGTCTAGGTTCTCCTGATGCCGACGAGGGGGCAGCTCTCCGTCCTCAGGCATCCTGTGGATAAAAGGAGCAGGTGTTGCCTGGTCTCATGTTAACCTTGCAACATCTTTAATTCCTGGCTGCACACATGCCATCCAGGCATGGGGTCAGAGAGGGAGGGCCCACCCCATGTTTGGGCTCTTCCCAGAGGGAGGGGCGGGTGGTTCTTTTCCCCAGGTCCTGGACAGGGGTGGCAGTGGGGCTGGGCTTTCCACAGCCGAGAGCCATGCCAGGGCCAAGCCCAGAGCTTTTCCTACCTGTCCTGTTCTCTCCTCTCCCCCCTCCCATGTCTACCCTCCTGACTCCTCTGCCTGGCAGTGGGCACAGGGTGGAGGCCTGCTTGGCCAGAGAGAACTGCCCTAGAGCAATCTCTGCGTGGGGAATGCCCTCCCGAGCTGCCAGACACGCAGGCAACCTCTGCCATGCCTTTGTCTCCTCACCTGGCCAGCCCAAGGCTTCCATCCTGAGTGCTAGCAACAGTCTGAGTTGGAGACATCTCCTTTCACTTCCCTTGGCTGGCATGAGGGCAGGCACAGAATGTTCCAGGCCCTCCTCTTCCTCGGTGGATTTTTGATTCATGAGCATTCCCATCATGCCTCCCCGAAGCCCAGCCCTGTGCCAAGCTTAGGGAGGCCAGGATGAGTAAGACCCAGGCTTCTACTCAGGCCAAGAAGGGGGAAAGACACATAAACAGCAAATAGGAGAGATGCAAAATCTCCAAGCACCTTGGCGTCTGCTCCCTTGAGTATCTCAGAATGTCCCTGTTTTGTAAAAAGAAGGAAGTGTTCCTCTTCTTTTTCCCTTTTGCTTTCACTTTCTCTGGGCACTGTACCCGTCCACGTCCCTGGTCCCTGTGACAATCGCGGAATGGCTCCCACTGAGAGATCTTCTCTGCTGCTTGGGGACGCTCCCGGGGCCTGAAACTCAGAGAAATCACTTCCTCTCAAATTTCCAGAGCCCAGAGTCTGAAGGCTGAGCCCAGAGTAAGCCCCCCGACAGAGATGACAGCATTTAATGTGTGGTGGCGAGGGAGTGGGAGGGAAGGGAGGGCCTGGGGGCAGTTGGGAAGGAGGCAGTGACAATTGGGGTCCGTGCTCCCCTGAGCTTTGAAATGACTTAGTGTGCGCTCTGATTTTTGCTTCACCTGGGCTGAGTTCTTTATAGCAATGTTCTGGTCTGCCCTCTGGGGTCGCAGCAGGTTACCCTAGCAGGCATGGGTTCAGGGGCACCCCTGTGGTGGAACCCAAATATGGGGGAATTAAGGGCATGCATTCTGGAATCACACTGCTTGGGTTCAAACCCCAGCTCCACCTCACCTGACGGGGAACCCTTGTACAAGTCACTTGGCCTCTCTGTACCTCGGTTTCTTCATCTGTAAAATGGGGCTGATCATAGCAGCTCCTTCAGAGTGCTTGGGAGGGTTGAATGAATTCCCATGCGGAAGCGCTTAGACTGACTGACAGCACTCTGCATGTGCTTAGTAAATATCAGCTGTTACTGGAGAGAGCAGAGCCGTCAGCCTGAATCCAACCAGCAGGGGGGAGCCCTCTCATAAGGTCCCAAAGAGAGTTAATTTCCAAATCCCTTGGGAGTCATTGCTCGACTATCAGCTCAAGACTTACTAAGGCTTCTTAAGCCAGGGATGAAGTGCAGATATGGAAACCAGGAGCCGTGATTGAACTCTCTGTGGGACCTCGAGCCAATTTATTGCCTTTTCTGGGCCTCAGTCTGTACATCCGCACAAGGGGGAGCTTGGATTGGGTAATGTCCTAGTAGATCCATGGCCTCCTCGGATTGGGGTGGGGCTGACTTGTCCTCCTCCCCTCACCCCACTGCCCCCTGCCTGCTTTCAGAGGAGTCCTGACCTCACTGTCCTCCCCAGGTTATGAAATGTGCACGCAGGAGGACTTCCAGGCTCAGAGGAGTCAGCTGGTGGGGCTGTTGGTCTCAGGGTCCCTGGAGGGCTTCGAGAGCATCCTGGACTGGCTCCTTTCCTGGGAAGTCCTTTCCTGGGAAGACTACGAGGGACTCAGCCTCCTGGGCCAGCCCCTCTCGCACTTGGCCAGGCGCCTCCTGGACACTGTCCGGAATAAGGGCGCTTGGGGCTGTGAACAGCTTGTCGCGGCCATCCGGGAGGCCCAGACCGACTGCCAGGCCCCAGAGCTTTCTGGCTGCTGGGATCCCCACTCGCCCCACCCAGCCCGTGACCTGCAAAGTCACCGGCCAGCCATCGTCAGGAGACTCTACAACCATGTGGAGGGCGTGCTGGATCTGGCGTGGGAGCACGGTTTCATCAGCCGGTACGAATGTGATGAAATCAGGTTGCCCATCTTCACATCCTCCCAGCGGGTAAGGCACTTCTGTCTTGGGTAATCAGAATTCACAGGAAAAGGGTGCTTAGTCACCAGGACGGGTTTGTCTTTAGGGAGTCAGCCCCGTGGGGAGACAAAGGTGCTGGCCTTCCCCCTTACAAGGTCACCAGGCAGGTAGAAGTCGTTCAGGGCCTGTTCTCTGTGATGCTGGGGCTTCTCTGTGGAAACTCTCCCTCCTTAATCTCCCCTGTCTCTTCTCCTCGTCTGTGAAATGTCAGTAAGGTTCTCAGGAAAAGTCAGTGAGTTGATTCATGTAACCCTTCGAACAGTGTCTAGCGCATTGTAACCACTCGTTAACATTCCCATTGGCCACCATTTGTTGTGTTATTGGTGATATTCTGTACTTGCATGCTTTTTGGCTGTCTTAAATTAACAGCTTAACATCATCAAAATTCATTAAGTTGTCTTTGTATTTCATAGTTAATTATTACATTGTATTTAATAGATACTTTAACATTTAATTACTAATCGTTAATAATTAGCACACTATGGACCACCGTTGTTCACATGTCTACATTGGATTTCTGATACGAACTTGCAATGGCTCATAGACGTTCAGAGTTGGGGTGTAACTCCCTCTGAAAACGCATTCCATTAGACCAGAAAAGTGTCTGTTGGGTAGTTTTGAAATTCCTTCTTCATTTTACCCCAAATAGCAACCCTCTGGGCTCTTGTGATACAGATGGAACCATCACTGACATGCCCCTTTATATATTGGAGAACTGATGCCCAGAACAGTAGTTTGATGGCATGGAAGTGCCGTGCTGGACCTGGTACCTTGACTCGCTTGTTCATTGTTCATTCATTCATTTATTCAGCCAGAATCTATTTATTTATTTTTTAAAGATTTATTTATTTATTTATCTGAGAGAGAGAGAGAGAGAGAGAGCACAAGTGGGGAGAGGGCAGAGGGACAGGGAGAAGCAGGCTCCCTGCTGAGCAGGGAGCCCGATGTGGGGTTCAATCCCAGGACCCTGAGATCATGACCTGAGCCAAGGTAGACGCTTGGCTGACGGAGCCACCCAGGCGCCCCATTGGCCAGAATTTATTTAGATGCTTAATATGTGCTGGGCTCTTAAAGCTTCTTGTCCTCAGTAAATAGGCACTCAATAAATACTTGTTGATGAAACACCTCAGTTATTGAATGAATGAATAAATGAACTGGAATTAAATGGCAGTGTTAGGATGGGCCAAATTGGGGGGTTTTCTAGTCTTTATTCTAGTCTTTTTTCTATTTAAAAAAAGGTCTGGTGATTAGGTGAGTCTAGGTTGAGACTGATGGGATAAGCCAGTGCATCCTTAAGGCTGGCTTAAAGTGGCTGCGTATTTACAGAGCACGCGTGGTGTGGGCCCCTCCCGTTACTCACTAGTGCACATGAAACCTACAATTCTACCCTGAGCACCAGCTCCTTGAGCCTGGCCCTGTGGGGATTACAGAAAACATGTTCGTTGTTGCACCTACCCTGGTGTCTTTGTGATCTGTTGTGGAGATCGAATCAGCCCATACGGGAAGTGAAAGGATTGTGTCTTGTCATCTTTGATCAAGTGTTCAACAGTGTGGTAGTGTGGTCCAGCCTGGATGCTCTGAGCAGTTTAGAGAAGGCAGCCTTGGGCCTAGAGGAGACAGGGCATGCATAGAGGAAGTATTTGGATTGACGAAAAAAGAAAGTAGGGTAACTCATGGGCCAAAGAAGAAATCGTAATGGAAATCAGAAAATAATTCAGAACCAAACAGTAATGAGAATCTGACTTATAAAAATTTATGGGGTACAGCTAGAGTGGAACATAGAGGGAAATGTATAACCTTAAATGCTAGTATTAGGAAAGAAGAAAGGCTGCATTTTAATGAGCTAAGACTACATCTTAAGAAAAGGCCAGGTGGACAGCAGAAGCACCCATCACTGGCACTGTGCAGAGAATGTGGCCGACAAGACCTCTGAGGGTCGTAGGAGTTTCCCGAGGGACTGGGCGGCCTGAGGTTTACATTTTTGGAGTCCAGCTCTCTCTGAGCCTTCTTTGAGGTCTGGCATCCTTTGGTTCTCTAACTTGGTGGCTTGCCTTCAGTGGTTGAATTTCTGATTCAGGGTGGGTGGCACTGTGGTATGTCCAACCAACATATCCTCCCAATCCAGGACTGCCTTGTTTACTCTTGTAGCTGACCTTGTAATTTCCTATAAAGAGGCAGGTGTCATGGATTGCAGGTTGGGCACCCAAAAATGCTGTGGAATGAAACAAAATGCAAGTTGAAGAACTAGATCCCTAAAAGACCCACTGCTACTATTTACTGAGTGAGTGCCAGGCATGGTCCATAGCCCTCGACGGTTGTGATCTCTAAGCCACACTGTGACCTTCTCAGGGTGTCGTGTTGGCTCTGCTGTTTTTTAACAGTGGAGAAACTGCCCAAACCACCCGTCTGGGAAGTGGCCCAGCTACAGTTTGAATCCAGGCCTGATTGCCCCCAGAGCGAATGATCTTCTCTTTCTGACCTGAAATCTGGGGCTTCATGTGGTGACCTCGCACAGTCGGGTATAACATTGCTAGCAGACCTGAGGCTATAAAGCCAGCTCTCCATCTGACTCATGCACCTGCTAAAGTTGCTAGGGCCAGAGTGTCAGACTGAAATGCTTGACTCTTTTATGACATTAACTCCAACACCTTTAACTTGGGCAATGTAGCATGCCTGCAGAAAAGTGTATAATTTCATATGTTGTGGTATAAACACATTCCCATCACCCACATGAAGACAGAATGTTACTAGTACTTTCCTCCATTGCTACCCCTAGCCTGACTTTTGTGTGAAGTCATTTCTTTGCTTTTCTTCATAGTTTTAACACCTTACGCAATAATTCTCCAAACAATGTGTTTTGTTTTAAAAAAGTTCTAGCAAGCACAAGCATAGCGGTGTCAGGGAAGGGTAGTCCTGCCTCTCCTTCTTGGAGGCAGGCTCCCAGGAGCACAGAAGCTGAACAGGGCCTCAGGGACTTGGTCTTGGCTTTACCATTTGGAGGCTTTCTAAGGGCTCCTGCTGGGAAGTCAGTGGGCAAGGTCATTGAGTGAGTCCCGAGAAACAGAGCATTCACTACAGCTGGAGGATCTGGTAGGGCAGGTCTGAGTCAGAGCCAGATGTCCAGGGATAGTCAGAGGAAGTGGGCTGCTCTGTAGGGTCAGTTGTAAGCTTGTCCAAGGCTCTTCCGGCTCCCAGGAATAGGGCCAGGCCAAACACTTCTGCGGGGTGAAATGAGTGTCCTCCACTGACCCAGGCCACAGGGGTGGAGAGAAAGAATGATATTAGCCTGCGGTGCAGACAAGCCAAGTATAGATAAGGATTAGAGCCAGGCCTGCCTGGACATCTAGGAAATAATTGTCCTGGTCCTGTGTGAGTCTTGAGTCACGTTGCTCCAGTCTGCCTCAACTGGTGGCCCTTTGCTTATGGTAAATCCATCATCCTGAGATTTCCCTTGATAGTCCTCTTGTGTTGGTTTTCCTCTATCCTGAGTAATCTGTCTTCCTTTTTCTTGGTTTGTTCTATTTTGGGAGATCGTATCTCCCCCACACTGTAAAATGAGTATATGGGAGTTAAATTTTAAGCTCTTATATAGCTACAAGTTTCCTCGTATTTGGTCAATAATTTGGCTGGGTATAAAATTCTGGGTTGGTCATCATTTTCCTTCAGAATTTTGAGATTATTACTCTCTTATCTGCTCTCTTCCAGAGAAGAATTGCTAAAATTCCAAAACTCTTTTATAACTCTTTCTGGACGCGTGTGGAATTTTCTTTTGGCCCCCTAACATTGTGAAATGTCACAGTGATGTGCCATAGTGTTTTTCCATTGTGCTGGGCACTCAAGGGGTGCTTTGAATCTGAAAACTCAGTTTCTTTTATGTTCTGGAAGATTTTCTTGATTACTTTATTGATGATTTCTTTCTCTTTTTTCTTTTCTCTCTTTATGGAACTACTCTTTGAATTTTAGGACTCCTAGACTGATCTCCTAATTTTCTTCTCTTTCTTGCCCATTTTCTATCTCTGTGTCCTTTTTTATCACTTCCTCTATAATATCTTCCACTTAATCTTTAAACCCTTGTGCCCTTGTGTTTTTCATTTTTGTGATCACTTTTAATTTCTAAGAGCTATTTTAAAATGTTTCTTATTATAGCATCCTATTCTTGTTTCATGGATGCAATTTCTTGTCTCACTTAAGGACCATAATGATACGTGGTTTTTTTGTTTGTCTTGTTTTGTTTTTGGTGGAGGGCAGATTTTTTCCCACCCTGCGTAACCTTTTTATCCCACAAGTTGCTTTCCCCTTCCCCACTTATTTGGCCTCAATCTCCCATATGAGATACTTTCTTTGGGCATGTGGTGATCCTTAGTTGACCGCTCATGACTGAAATATACTCCCTGAATCTTACTCTGGAAACTCAGAGCCTACAGGTGAAACTTGTCTGCCTCAAGTTTCACTGTAGACATTTTGGGAAGTGATGGTATTTGTATCTTTAGACCTTTCCTCCTAGGTTGGTCAAGTTACCAGCCTGGAGGTAAAGGTCTGACTTCCAGAGTTGTGAGAACCCAGTGAGTAAGAGGGCTGGGTGGTGATAGTGGTGGGGAGAGGTCTCTGCATTCAGCACTCATTTTGCACATGGTCATTTAAACCTGCTTTGGGGGCATGATGCCCATCTCCTTTATTGTGCCTGGTACCTCCCAGTCCAGGGACCCTGTTTTAGCCTTTCCAGAATATAAATCTCCACACTTTGCCATGGCAGGGCAGGAAAAGTTGTTGTTGGCTTGGAGTGGGTCAGGGGAACCAGAGATCTGTTTTATAAACCATGTTGACTCAACCCTCCTTACTTTAATCATTTCCTTTGATTATGGAGGTACCTGATGCTCTTAATTCCAGAGATCTTTATAGAGTCTGAGATGCACATTGTGTGGTTTTCAACCCACTGTTGGCTTAGGATCTGGCTTTCTGGGCTCTTCTAAGAATATTACTATTCATTCCTTTGGCAAGTCCTTGAATGCATGCTCTGTGCCAGGCACTCTTCTAGGTGTTGAGGATACAGCAATGAGCAAAATAGACAAAAATCCTTGTCCTGGAGATGCTCATGTTCCAGTGCAGGGAGATGGATAATAAGCAAAAGGAAGCAAGTGACAGGGCATGCTGGAAGGTGATGGATGTGCTATAGAGAATAGCAGAGTGGGTCTGGGGGTTGAAAGTTACAGGGGGTGGAGGTAGTGATTGCAATTTTAAGTAGAGTGGTCAGGGAGTTCTCAAGAAGGTGATATTTGAGCAAAGGCTTAAAGGAGGTGAAGGAAGGAGTCATGTGGACAGCTGGAAAAAGGGCATTCCAGGCAGAGAGGACAGCCCCAGCAAAGGCCCAGAGGTGGGAGCATGCTTGATGTTTCCAGAAAACCCGAGGCTGGTGTTCTGAGCGGAATGAGCAGGGGGAAGATCAATAAGAGGTGAAGTGAGAGACGTTAAGCAGGATCCTGAGGGTCACAGACAGCACTTTGGTCTGTTTAGAGCCTTGTAGGTTACTGTTGAACTTGGGCTTTTACTCTGAGAAAATGAGGGAAGTGCTGGGACATTTGTAACAGGAGAGGTATGATCTGACTTTTATTTTTAAAGAATGACACTCTGCCTGCGATGTTGAGAATAGATTCTGGGGACAGGGATGGAAGCAGGGACACAAGTTAGGCAGACTTTGCTGTTTTCCAGGTGAACAATGATAGTGGCTTAGACGGTGGCATAGAGGAGGGGACAAAAAGGGGCAGGGCTCTCCAGCTGTGCATCCAGTGGGGTAGACACTGGCCACATGTGGCTATTGAGCACTTGAAATGTGGCTGGTCTGCAGTGGCATTCTGTTCTGGAGAACGAATGTAAAATAGCTTAGTAATTTTTTATATTGATTACATGTGGAAATGGTGATATTCCGGCTATCTTGGGCTAAATAAAATATATGATTGAAATGGATTTCATTTATTTTTACTTTAAAAAAATATGGCTACTGGAGGACTCAACATGACAAATACGTCTCGCATTTGTGTCTACCCTCTGGGCAGCGAGCATTATACTTCTACTGTGCTGTTCTGGATATGTGGTCAAGCCAACAGGGTTTGTTGGTGGATTGCAGAGGAGAAGTTTCCAGGGTGATTCTAGAAGTTTGGGGCTAAGCAACTGGAAGGGTAGAGTTGACATTAGCTGGAAGGAGGAAGGCTGCAGGTTTGGGGGCGGGTGTAGACCAGGAGTTTAGTTGTGGATATGTTAAGTCGGAGGTATTTAGGGGACATGGTGGGCAGGCAGTTTTGGGTGTGTGTGTCCAAGGTTCAGGGGAGCAGTTCAGGTTGGAGATGAAAATGTGGGGGTTGTGCTCAGTGATGGTATTCCAAGCCTTGGGGCTCCATGGAATCACCTGTCTTCCAAATGATTTCTTGCTTCCAGAGTTGTTTTTCCTATCCTTGCAGGTTTATGGATTTATGTCCTTTTCTCCTTTTTAAGTGATTCCCTCTTTTAGTGAGAGACAGATCGGGTGCGTGTTTTCCAGTGCTCGCTTCACCACGCAGCACCTAGTAATGTCTTCTTCAAACTCCTCTTGCTTTGGGGTGTTTTTCTGGCCTCTTATTGTGGTGGAAGGGAGATGCCTAAGAAACTGTAGTGATCGGTAGAAACCTTCCCATACCGTCTCCATCCACCTTTCTGGAAAGATACTGACTTTTGCTCTCCCCATAGGCAAGGAGGCTCCTCGATCTTGCCACAGTGAAGGTGAATGGGTTGGCTGCCTTTCTTCTACGTCATGTTCAGGAATTGCCAGTCCCGTTGGCCCTGCCTTTCGAAGGTATATACTTATATGTTCTTCTCAGTTCATCAGAAAGGGAAAGAAAGGCTGTACGGATTCCTGGTTAAGGGCAGAACTCCAGAGCAAGACTTGTCCTAAGTTAGAATTCCACCTACTGGCCCTACGGGCCTCCCTACGGCTCAGTTTCCTGATTTCAAGGATAACACCACCACCACTGACTCACTGGGCTATTGGGAGGATTGAGAGGCTTACCATGTGTAATATTAGGGTTATCTTTTGTTAATTCCCAAGCTGCACCATGATAACTGGAGCCTACTGTGCCATGAAGCTAAGACAGGTCTTCCTCACCAGCCAAACTCTTACTATCTGTCCTGAAAGGGATACACTTTTGAGATAGGGCTGTTACCTCTTGATTTCTGCAATTTAACTACTCACTATGAGAAACTCTGGGACCAAATGGATTTAGATAACGTGGTAGCTCTCTCGTTGCACATGGCCACCAACCCAACCCAGGGACGGGAGGGGCTCGGATCCCACAGTTGGCACGTGGTAGGCATCCTTGCAAAGGCTTTATTTACCATATCTGTCCTTTGCAGCAACCTTGAGAAATCCGTGTCATTTTTTCCATTTTACGGATGTGAAAACTGGGGCAAGGAGAGCGGGGGTCGAGGTGAGGAGGATGTGTCTGGTTTTAAACCGTCTCCACCGTCGCTTCCCCTTTTCTTGGGAGGTGAGATCATTAGTTGTAAAGAGAGGGCGTGAGCCTTGTATGTCTTGTTCCACCATCACCATAGGGATTGCTCATTGGCAGTGAGGGCCCCTGACCTGTGGGTGGTGCTAGCGGATAGATTTACCACCCTGGGCTCTACCCTCAGGGCAGGGAGCATGCCTGCAGGAGGGATGGCTAGAAGCTTGTGCTTCGTACCTTGGTGTGCACCATCTCCCTGAGAACAGGGCACAGACATCAGTGTCCAACAGGGGCTGCTCATCACAGAGCACTGTGCCCGGGTTGGGCCTTGGTTAATGACTGCTGTTGATACCATCAAGCCCAGCTGGCTTTCATGCATTGTAACTCTGTGACATGGGGTCAGATTCCCCAGAGTGACCAATCCAAAATGGACGACTGACCTGTGTTTGTTTTTCAAATGAGAGATACCTGTTTTTCTGGAGAATTTTTTATTGGTGGGTCGTGTCTGGAAAACCTGCATTAGAACTCAGGGAATTAGAAAGGCAGGTGTATATTTTATGGTATCTACATTCAGTGCTCCTGGTATATCCAGATTTAAGAGCAATGATGACCATCAGCTCTGGGAACAGAAGACGGAACACAAATACGGGGCAACTGCTTTGGATGACCATAAACATAGCTTCGGTATGCTAAGTATGCTCTGTGAGAATTACTTGTTAGCTTTTGAGGTGAGGACAAGGGGGCTGGTCTTTGGTTGGGAGCAGCGAAATCATGATGCTCGAGTGTCCCCCCACCCTGGGGGCTCTGGACTACCACTTCCCCATTCCCTGAAAGAGGAACTAACCCCTGATACAGGAAGTAGTTTGCTCACATTGGTTATTAGGATGGTAAAGGAAAAGCAGTTGCCTTGTGGACACACCCTACGTGCAAGAGGGTTGCCGAGGGTTATGTGAAGAGGATGGGGAAGTGAATAGTGACCAAGGACTCTTGTCCAAGTGCTTGACCCAGGCACCCCGCTGCCCCTGAGACCAAAGAGTGCTAGGTCCACCTGGATCACCCAGGATATGTCCCTATCTCTTTAGTTTAATCACATTTATCTAGTCCCTTTTTTGTAAGTAAGGTGATATATTCACAGATCCTGAGGATTAGGACATGGTGCTACTGTTATGCCTACCAAACCCACCAGTATCGCGATAATAAATACCATCTTTCAAGAGTTTACCATATGTCAGACATTCCTCTAAAGTTTATCTTATCTCATTTCCTCCTGTAACAATCCTTCATGGTGTGGATTGTCCCTGATTTTGGAGATAAGTATACCGAGGTTGAGTGGCTTGCGCAAGCTAATGATGGAGCCAACTTTCAAACCCAGGCGTATCTGACTTCAGAAACTGGGCTGTCAGGCTCATACACCTTGTATTTTTCTTTAGAAAGACGCAGCCGAGATTGAGTGGTGAAGAGGCTTCTCGGAGGCCATCTAACCAATATGGTGGGACAGGCATCGGAGTGCAGGTCCTCTGATCCCAGCCCAGTGCTCCTTCTAAACTACAGCTCTTCCTGATGTCAGTAGTAATAATACCACTAGTTAATATCTTTTGAGCTCTGTGTGGGATGCTGAATGAAGCACTTGACATGAATTATCTTAATTGCTCCATGTAAACCCTATAAGGTAGGGACCACCATTTTCCCACTTCCCAAGGTAGGGGGGAGGGGGTGGAATTCCCAGGCTTAGGAAGGTTACATGACTGTCATCAAAGCCCACAACCTGAAAGTGGAGAAGCCAGGGCTGGCACGTGCTGGCTCTTCTTTCATGCATAACATCACACTCCCCCATGCAGCCCCCTCTCTGTCAGATCCCATCCTCCCCACCGTCCTACCTCATTCGCCTCTTCTTCGGTCTTCCAGATGCCGCATGTAAGAAGTACATGTCCAAGCTGAGGACCACGATATCTGCTCAGTCTCGCTTCCTGAGCACCTATGACGGGGCTGAGAATCTTTGCCTGGAGGAAATATACACAGAGAATGTTCTGGAGATCTGGACAGAGGTGGGACTGGCCGGAGCCCCGCAGAAGAGCCCTGTGACCCTGGGCCTGGAGGATCTCTTCAGCACCCGTGGCCACCTCAATGAAGATGCAGACACTGTGCTGGTGGTGGGCGAGGCGGGCAGTGGCAAGACCACGCTGCTGCAGCAGATGCACCTGCTGTGGGCTGCAGGGCGCGACTTCCAGGAATTTCTCTTCGTCTTCCCATTCAGCTGCCGGCAGCTGCAGTGTGTGGTCAAGCCGCTGTCTGTGCAGATGCTGCTCTTTGAACACTGCTGTTGGCCTGACGTTGGCCAACAGGACGTCTTCCAGTTCCTCCTCGACCACCCCAACCGTGTCCTCTTAACCTTCGATGGCTTTGACGAGTTCAGGTTCAGGTTCTCGGATCGCGAGCGTCACTGCTCTCCCACCGACCCCACCTCTGTCCAGAATCTGCTGTTCAACCTTCTGCAGGGCAACCTGCTCAAGAATGCCCGCAAGGTGCTGACCAGCCGACCTGATGCGGTGTCCGCATTCCTCAGGAAGTACCTGCGCTTGGAACTCCACCTCAAGGGCTTCTCCGAAGAGGGCATCGAGCTGTACCTGAGGAAGCGCCATCGTGATCCGGGGGTGGCCGACCGCCTCATCCGCCTGCTCAAAGGGACCTCGGCCCTGCATGGTTTGTGCCACCTTCCTGTTGTCTCCTGGATGGTGTCCAGATGCCACCAGGAACTGTTGTTGCATGGCGGGGGCTCCCCAAAGACCACCACGGATCTGTACCTGCTGATCCTGCAGCATTTTCTGCTGCATGCCTCCCCCCCAGACTTGGTGCCCCGCGGTCTGGGATCCGGCCTGCTTCGAGGCAGACTCCCCACCCTCCTGCGCCTGGGCCGGCTGGCTGTCTCAGGCCTGGGCACGTGCTGCTACCTGTTCTCAGCCAAGCAGCTCCAGGCGGCACACATCGACAGGGAGGACATTTCCCTTGGCTTCCTGGTGCACGCCAAGAGCGTTGTGCCCGGGGGCGCCGCCTCCCTGGAATTCCTGCACATCACCTTCCAGTGTTTTTTTGCAGCCTTGTACCTCGTGCTCAGCGCTGACCTGTCACCGTCCTTGCTCAGACAGCTCTTCAATTGTCACCGGCCGCGCAGCTCGCTGCTGGCCCGGCTGCTGCCCCCCATGTGCGTGCCGCGCTCAGAGGGCCAGGAGGGCGGCACGGCCGCCTTGCTGCGGGAGGCCGAGCCGCACAACCTCCGGATCACGGCAGCCTTCCTGGCGGGGCTGCTGTCCCGGGAGCACGGCGGCCTGCTGGCCGAGGGCCAGGCGTCCGAGAAGGCCCTGCTCCAGCTCCAGGCCTGCACCCGCGGCTGCCTGTCCCGCAGCCTCCACGAGCACTTCCACTCCATCCCCCAGGCCGTGCCAGGGGAGGCCAAGAGCATGCACGCCATGCCCGGGTTCATGTGGCTCATCCGGAGCCTGTACGAGATGCAGGAGGAGCAGCTGGCCCGGCAGGCCGTGCGGGGGCTCAAGGTCGGGCACCTGAAGCTGACGTTTTGCGGCGTGGGCCCTGCGGAGTGTGCCGCCCTGGCGTTCGTCCTGCGGCACCTCGGGCGGCCCGTGGCCCTGCAGCTGGACCACAACTCTGTAGGGGACCTCGGTGTGGAGCAGCTGCTGCCCTGCCTGGACGTCTGCAAGGCTCTGTAGTGAGTGCGGGGCGACGCAGGCTGGGTGTGGCGCTCGGTGCCTTGTGGGAGGTGGGCGGGGCGCGGGGGGGAGGGGCCGGGTGGCCAGCCCCCCGCCACCCCTCCGGGGCAACCCCAGCCCCGCCCCTTCCCCGCTGGGGGGGGGTGGGGGCGGGGCTTAGTTTCCTGGTGATGATGACAGCCATGCGTATGGAGTGTCCCGCGTGTCAGGCGCTGTGTTACACGCTTCCTGCAATTAATTCCTTTCATCTCGGTGAACACCCGGGGCCGTCTCCCCGTTATCCTCCGTTTGAGGCCCAGAGAAGCAGAGTCACTGGTCTGGTGGGACACGGGAGATGGCAGAGCTGGGTTGAACAGATCACATCTTTCCTGTGACAAGTCCTTGCTCCCCACAAGCAGCCTGCCCGTGGACAGGTTTCGGGGCTCCACGGGAACCTTGAAGTGACACGCAAAGTTCTGTGTCATATGTGTGTGTTATTAGGAACCCCCCACAATTTAGAGGTGACTTAGGCCCCATGAGAGATTTTAAAATCCCAATGAGATGCGAATTTCAGGATCCAAGAGCTGGAAAGTGGCTGCAAAGTTGCACCGCATGCCCCCCACTTTTTTTTTTTAAAGATTTTATTTTTCATTTGAGAGAGAGAGAGATCAGGAGCGGGGGGGGGGAGCTGCAGAGGGAGAAGCAGACTCCCCGCTGAGCAGGGAGCGCAATGTGGGGCTCGATCCCAGGACCCTGGGGTCATGACCTGAGCCAAAGGCAGATGCTCAACTGACTGAGCCACCCAGGCGCCCTGCACCTGCCCTTTCATCCTGCATGCAGTGCGGCACCCATGAGGGTATGCTGTCACCCATACTGCTTCCGGACCCCCGTCTGGAGGTGTGAGGTTTCCTTCCCCCTTTGGAACGTCCGTTCCCGCACCCACAGGGCCTCTCTCCACGTCTAGGGCCAGGTGAGAGCAGAGGGCATGGCCGGGTCTGGCAGCCAGCTGGCTGCAGGCTCCCCCACTTTCCTCCCTGCCTTGAAAGGGCATGTCCTGCTCCCTATTTAAAACCTCCGAGAAAGCAGAAGTGGTAGCTTAACATTAAAATCTACTCACAGCTTTCTGGGGCTTTTGGTCTATCCCAGATGACCTTATTTGACTCTAAGCAAGGGACAAGCCTCTCCTTGAATCTATTAAGATGACACACCTTCTCTGGGCCAGAGCAGCAAGATTTTTTTTTCCTCTGGAGCAAACATATGCCTATCTATTAGAAACTTGGTGGCCTGTGTTATCCCTTACATAGGGTCCATGTCATAAGTTTATAAATGTAAAGTAATAATAATAATATGTAGCATATTTTATATAGTTAACATGTATATTATAGATAATATATGTTATGAATATATCAAGAGGATATAGTGTTGACACATTTAAATTGGGTCATTTGCAGAGAGTTTAATAAAGGGAGTGTTTACAGAGGCTTGGGCAGCAGTTAGGAAGAGCCAGAAGGGACAGGGCAGGGTCCTGGGGCCAGTGATGGTGGGGTGGGGACGGGGCTGTCACCCTCCGCAGGCCTGGAGAGGCAGGGCTGGGGGGCAGGTGTGGAGAAGGCTGCCTGGTAGGAGCTGAGACTACAGAAAGCTGGGAGAGTGGGGGTCCTGGCCTTTCCTCCCCTTCCCACTCTTGCCTTGACCAACCAACCGGGAGTTAGCTCAGGGTACCTGCTGCTGTCATCCGTGGGCATCAGCCCCTCAGGACCGAGAGCCAGGCAGAGAGGGGAAAGTGGATCTGGCCAGGCAAATGGAAGATGGCCAGCACCATACTCTATTTCCCCAGGAAGGAGGAATCCCCATATTTTCACTCAGGAAGTCTGAGACCTGTCTGTGGAAGTCATTTTCTTGATAAAATATGAACGTGCATTTTTCTGAATAGTGGACCCGTCATCCTCAAAGGGGTCCTCGAGTCCCAAGAGGTCGGGAACCACTGGCCTGGATGATCCTTATAGACCAGTCCATCCTTAGAATGAACGGACCCCCTCTCCTCAGTTAAGGAAAGCCCACGTCACTCCCAGGATGTGTCAAAGGGCTGAGGGGAGGCTCGAGGTCTGTTTTTATTCTCAGAAGAAGGTTCCAGTGCTCTGCTCGTAGGTGAAAAGGAGCTTGTGGAAATGCAGATTCGAGGGCCCATCCGCAGTGGTTCTCATTCCCTAGGTCGGGTGGTTTGTGGGAACCAGCTTCATTTTCCATGAGCCGTAAAAGACCTTGACCAAGTCCCACTTCTCTACTCTCTGTACCGAAATTGCCAGTGCTGTGTGGGAGGGGAAAGGACCTGGAGGTTGCTGCTTGGGCATTTCCTGTGTGTGTGTGTGTGTGCGCGTGTGTGTGAGACAGAGACAGAGAGACAGAGAGACAGAGACAGAGGCTAGTGGACAGCGGGAGGACTCCTCTCCCCCACAGCCATACTGCCTCTCTCCCACTTGAATTGTTTCCATGCCAACAGAAATGCGCAGCCTCCAGGAAACCTGTCTACAGAGTGTCCCCATCTAGGTTTCTTTAGATGCTGGCTCTGACTCTAGGCTGCTGGCTTTCACAGTTTTTGGGCTGTGGCCCACCGTGAGAGAGAAGTTACAAGCAGGCACACAGGCATCTAAGACTGAAACAAAAACTTCACAAAATGACTTTCCGGTGTAAACTCGGATGCATTCTGCCCTCTTCTGTTCTTTCTCCCTTTTCAAAATGCTGCTGGGCTCTTCAGAGTTGATTTCATGACCCACCAGCGGGTCACGACCTGCAGCCTGAAAATCACGGCTCTAGGAGCCCCTAGAAGGCCTGGGGGGAGAGGCAGGGGATGTCATGCTCAGGGGTGGGGTTCGGAGCCAGACCTCCCTGGTCCAGATGCTTTAGGCGCTGTGCAACCTTGGTGCTGTCACTCCACTTGTCTGTGCCTCAATTTCCTTCCCCTTAATAGACATCATGGTAGTACCTACGTGGTGAGCTTTTGTGAGGATTAAATACCTTTACTTTTGGGAAGTGCTTAGGTGAGCACTCCATGCACGCGAGCGGTCATGATTATAGGGAGCTTCTACCCATTCCAGGTGCTCACAGGGCTTTATGTGCACTGTCTCTTTAAATCTTACTCTACAGCCAGGTGGGGCTGGGAATACCATCCCCCGCTTTTTACTGAGGAAGGGAGCAGCAAATAACTAGTAAGTGGCTGCTAAGGATCCGAATTTCCACTGAGGGATTCCAGAGCCCACGTTGTTAACCTTTAAGTTAGGGTGTCCCCGATCTGCCTGAACAAGGGGATCATGGGCACAGTTGTTAACATACACAGATCCCTGGGCCCCGCCGCCCCACACATACAGAATCACCAGCTCCAGGGGAGGGGCCTGAGAGTCTGTATTCTAGAGAGGCTTTCTGAAGATCTCGTGGCATCAGGTGAGTTTGGGGGATGCTGCCCTCCAGTGCCCACCATCACCTCCTGCGGGGGAGGGGGCTGGCTAATTCCCACCACATCCACCCACCTCGGGAACCTTCTGTGAGGCCGCTATGAAGATCATTTCTGTGTTACAAAGCTGGAAACCGTTCCTTGGACTAGGCCAGTGACCCTGAGGATTCCAGTGTTCTTTAGCAGGAGCTCTGGGTCCCCGCTTGCTGAGCTGTCCCCCACCTAGGGCATGGCGTTGGCACCCAGACCAGGGATGGGGGCATCTCCTCTGTTCTGGGGTGCTCAGTGCTTTGCGGTGTTTTCCAGAAGCCCAGACGATGGCACTTTGGGCACGCGTGCAAATCTCTCCGGGAGTCTTGTTTATTTGATTTTTCTCTCGTCAGCTCCATTTTCAAATTTATTTGTTTTGTCTTCTGTTCAGCTTGCGAGATAACAATATCTCCGACCGAGGTGTCTGCAAGCTCGTGGAGCATGCGCTGCAGAGCGAGCAGCTGCAGAAGTTAGCGTAAGTCGGGCTTGGGCTGCGGACGTGGGGCCTCGTGCCCCCAGCCATGCTCCAGGCCGTGCCACCGGGGCCGTGAGCCGGGCCAGGGGAGGTCTGCCTGGTCGGAGGGTGCGGGCGGCTCCTGTGCTGAGGGAACCGGCTACCCGGCTACCCGGGGCTTGGGGTGGTCACTGACTGCCGTGCTTGGTTTCCATGGCTCCTCCCTTTTGGAACTTTCCAGGCTTTTCAACAACAAACTGACCGATGGCTGTGCACAACCCATGGCCAGGCTCCTTGCATGCAAGGGGAACTTCTTGGCATTAAGGTGAGGGCTGCCTTTCTGCTGCACAGCTGAGTCCGCTTGGTCTGGCCTTGGCCCTGGCCTTGGCCCTGGCTCGGCCTCTGCTGGGCCGCTGATCTCCTGGCTGCTTTACAGGGCCAGCGTTGCCTTGGAGCAGGGTTTCGCCAATGCTCTGACCTCCCCAGCAAACTCTGGACCGGCTCTGCTCGGCTGAGGGCTTCCCGCCTTTTGACCTTTAGCCCCAGGGCTGAAGAGGGTTTCCAGGGCCTTTTCCTTCCCTGTGTCTAAGAGTGTCACGAGCTCTCTGGGGTTTCCCAGCTCACTGATGCATGTTGAGCACAGGCTGTGGGCAGAGGTGCGCATCAGTCCCCTGTCCCCACGGCGGTGGCAGCCAGTCGCCGAAAAGCTCTCAGAAGGTCCTTTCAGTGCTTGGCAGGTCCGGCTTTGTACTCCAGTCTGTGAAGTCTGCGATTCTGCTGCTCTTGGCCCTCCTGGCTCAACTGGAGTCTCTCTCCTGACACCATTAAATCACCTCTCCTGCTGGCCCCTGGCTTGGCCTGGCTTCTCTCTCTCTCTCTCTCTCTGGGAATGTCTTGCCTCCTGGATTTCTGTGGATGAACAATTGCTATTGTCCATTCTTTCTACCTGCTGGGCTGGGTTTGGGGATGGGAGCCTCCATTTTTAAATTGCTAACCATGTAGCTCAGTCTCAGGCAGGGCTGCTGAGGCCAACCCCAGAGGTGCCTTTCTGTACAAAGGACTCTGTTCTGCCACCACCACCTGCTCCCCCAGACTCAGAATCCTGAGAACCGCTGTGGCCAGGGGGAGGGCCATGTGGTGTAGCGGGAAGGTGCTACACTCGAACCTGAGGCCTGGGTTCTGGGCTAGAATAGCACGATAGTTGAAAGCATGGGGCTCTGGGGATCAGACCGACTGAGGTTTGGGTCCAGGATCCCTGAGATTTGAATCCTCATTTGCTGTGTGACCTTGGGTCAGCCCAGTGTCTCTGTGACTCTGTTTCCCCTTCCGTAAAATGTGGATAATAATTACAGCTTCCTCCTAGGTCGTTGGGATGACTAGATGAGTTAACATATGCAGAGACCCGACACAATAAGTCGGTGCTTTAAGCAGTGAGCTCAGTGGCTAAAAGATGGCGAATAATCCCGAAAGTTCTCAGTATGTTTGTCCAGTAGTTCAGGCCTCTGAGGAGGGATTAGATGTGCAAGAAATTTGTTGGGGAAAATGCCAATGAGGGGCAGAGAGGGAAGGCGCTGGGGGAGGCTGGGCAAGTCAAGTCTGACCCTGAGTGAGGGGGAGAGGGAAGGAAGAGGGCTGGGAGGAAGTGTCCTGGCCTTCAGTGCAGTTCTGAGAGCACAGACGGTGGCGGCCAGTCCTCCAGCCAAGTGTGCCCAGCTGGGTCTTGTGTCTCCCTTGTGTCACTGGCTGGGAGCCGCCTGTGGGAAGCGGGCCTCGGTACAGAGGCGCCCTTGGGTTTCCCAGCCCAGCAGCAGGGGCCCTTAATCACAGGGCCTGTGGTCAGAGGTGTGAGAGGCCACCACACTCCTTCTGGAAGGGGATCACAGTGCCTGCCTTGCAGCATTATGAGCTAGAGTGGTGTCAAGGGCCTGAAAGTTCTCTAAAAAGAGGAAAGTGTACTATTAATTCCAGGAAGCCTGGGGTTGTGGGTGAGAGTTCTGGGGACCTCCCTGAAACTCTCTGAGGTACCTGGATGTGGCTGAAGCCTCCCCCCTCCAGTCCCTGCTCAGCAGGATCCCCTTCCCTCTCCCAGCGGCCAGGGCCTGCCCTCTTTCCAGAACAGGTGAATGCTCCTTGCAGCAACAGTGGACCCAGGAGAGCTGCAGGGGGGCATGGAGTCTAGCACCAGCCAGTGGCTGACGCAGGAGGAAAAGGTGTGATAGTGAGTCACCCTCCCTCCCCTGGGGAAGCCACCTCCTCGGACACCTGCCTATTGTGCATTCTGCCCGTACCTGTCACACTGCTTTGCAAAACAGGTTTCCCCCACTTCTTTCCCTTTGCAGCTGGGAAATGAAGTAGTGGGAGTCCTTACTAAGTTCCCCCAAACAGGAATAGAAAAGCACATACGCTCACTGTTGGGCAGGCAGGAGCTAGAGGACAGGCTCCTGCGTCCTGCAGAGAGCTCCTCAAAGCTTTTCTCCATGTTTCTGTGTCTGGGACACACTTTTCCCAGCAGGCCCGGGCTTTCTGGGCACTCACATCTCCCTGTCCCGCACACTCTTAGCCTCCCTGCCTTCCCTTCCAGGCTGGGGAATAACCATATCACTGCCGCAGGAGCCCAGGTGCTGGCCGAGGGGCTCAGAGCCAACGCTTCCTTGCAGTTCTTGGGGTAGGTTGGATTCTGGGGCAGAGGGACCGCGTGGGGGTGGGTTGGGGGACTTAGAGGTAGGTGACACATTTCGGCCAGAAGGCCCCAGAGGCAGTGGGAGAGAGTGGGTGGCCCTTGGCTGCTTTGGTGTTTGTCTTTCACTCAATAAACAGGAAGCTCAGGAAGAGCCTGTGGTGGCAGGAAGCTCTCTGGTCCTTGCTGGATCCAGGGCTGTGCCTTTCGCCCTCGTGAGTCCATCAGAACCCCTTGGGAGCTTCTGAAGAATGCCTGGGCCCCACCCTAGACTAATTAAATGAAGCGCCCGGTGCAGGGCTTAGGAATCAGTCATTTAAAAAAAAAAAGCTTGGCAGAGGTTGTGCGGCCAGGGGTGAGAAGCAGGGTAAGAGATGGAGGTGGACAAGGCTGGAGACTGGCCCCAGGATGGGAGGGGGCTTTGCCGGGTTCTTCAGAGCGCGTGTTGCTGTGGGGTCAGGCCAGGCCTTCCAGGGAGGGCAGAAGAGTCAGACGCGGGCTGGGAGGGCAGTCCCACAGACCACAGGTCCCCACAGAGTGTTGCGGGGGGCGGGGGGAGGAGGGGGGCATCCTCTGGTTGCGGGGCAGAGTGACCACCCCCCAGGATGGCATCCTTGCAGTCCCCCCCTCCCGTCCTGCCTCCCCTGGTGTGACCTAGGGTCCCTTGGACGAGAAATGCGGGTTTGAGGACCCAAGACTGTAGGAAGAGAGACTAAAACCTTAGGGCCCAACCCATTTCATAGGCAGGCAAGCTGCCCACACGCTTGGGAGATCAGCACCTTTCCAAGCCGCGTGCCTAGCCCCACAGAGTCCAGCACAAGCGCGGCCCAAGCCCTACCAAGCTCTCTCCTGCTCGGGGTCGCAACTAGTGGATTGGGGCCGTTCTCTTTCAACACATATTTATTAAGGCACCTGTCTGGACCAGGCACTGTGCTCAGACCTCCAGATGCTATCCTCTGGTACAAACTGTTCTGAATATTGGTTTTTTCTTGCTTAACAATATATCTTTCATACCCTAATGACCTCATTTTTGAAAGACAAGCCGCTTAGTATTCCATGGGCTGGATGGCTGTAATCTCTTTAACCCAGCTCCTTTTGAGACACATTGAGGTTGTTCCAGGTTTTTTGCTGGTTGTTTGCACTCTCCCCGGGGCACAGAGCTGTGCTGGTGCAGAGCCGGGGCTCAGTAAATATTTACCTGATGAATGAAAGCGCAGTGAACCTCTTAGTTAGGCCACCTTTGCTCACGTGTGCCCAGCCAGGTCCGGGCTCACTTCCCGTGTGTAAAACAGCCAGGTCACACCGTCTGAGCCAGGCCCCACCTTTGAAAAGGGAAACATCCATCCAAACTGCAGGAGGTCTCGGAGGATGACCCCGGGGGTGAAGGAGTTTGACACCATGAAGGAACGGGGATGCTAGGGAGGAACAAGAATGACCCCGGGGTGAAGGAGTTTGACACCATGAAGGAACGGGGGACGCTAGGGAGGAGCAAGAGAGAGAGAGCTGGCTTGTGGGAAAAGAGTGAGACTTGTTTTGGGTGGTCCTGGAGGATAGTTGAGGGCTAGGGGGTAGCAGTCCCTGGGAAGAAGGGTCAGGAAAAATGTTAACCCTGTGACTTGTCACTGAGAGGGAGTTCCCTGTCCCGGAGGGCATGTGCTAGGTGGGCCTCTATTGTTCTGTAAATCTGACTGAAAAATGCGAGTGTGGTTTGGCCATCGCTCTAAAAAGGTAGAGGTAGGACCACTTTGCTGGGACCTAGGAGCCCCACTGAGACCATTCTGGAATTGGGTGGTCGTAGCCCCTCCAGCCGGGGATGTAGAGAGGAAGGGCAGGCTTCATGCATGTCTAGAACACACAGCAGTTACTCACTGACCGACTGACAGAATCTGTTGGCTTTTTTAGGTTGTGGGGCAACAAGGTGGGTGATGAGGGGGCCCAGGCTTTGGCTGAAGCCTTGGGGGATCACCAGAGCTTGAGGTGGCTCAGGTAAGCTTCGGGGTCTGCATGGCCGTGGGGAGCGGGCATGAGGAGGGAGGAGCCTGGGCCAGTAACTCCTTCCTTTGCTTGAACTTTGTTTTACATCCCCCCCACCTCCCATGTTAGGCAGTGGGATGAGAAAAAAAAGACCCTTGGATTTGGAGTCAGGACATTTGAGTCTTTCTGGGTGACTTTGGAGTATCCCTTCTTCTCTCAAGGGTCTTGATTCTCAGAGGCAACTAGGTGGCTCAGTCCCTTAAGCATCCAGCTCTTGATTTCGGCTTAGGTCATGATTTCAGGGTCGTGAGATCGAGCCCCGCGTCCAGCTCTGCGCTCAGCACGGAGCCTACTTAAGATTCTCTTCCCCTCTCCCTCTGCCCCTCCCCATTCTCTCTCTCTCTTTCTCTTACTAAGAAATATTAAAAAAAAATATTCTAAAGTGGGTCTTGATTCCCTATCTATAAATTGAAGATTTGGGGCTGCATCAGATATATTTTATCTCAAGAACCAACTCCAGTCCATTAATAGTGACTACCCAGGACATCATGTCGGGAGGGAGTCTAAGGCTGCTTCCTAGGCTTCATGGAAAAGAGCACTGTAATCAATCAGTCATGTCCGAAATGAAGCCGACTAGGAAGCTGGGCCATAGGTGTCGTGCATTTTGCCCTTCTTGGCTTAGCTTCTCCCTGAGGCCCCTCCCTGCCCTGACACGTCGTTGTTCTTTGATTCCATTCAGCCTGGTGGGCAACAACATCGGCAGCATGGGGGCTCAAGCCTTAGCATTAATGTTGGAAAAGAACATGGCACTGGAAGAACTCTGGTGAGATCGGCGGGTCCCCTGCTCTGGGGGGCAGATAACAGCCTTTCTTCATTCCTGGGCCTCCTCCGTGGAAGCGGATAAAACTGAGCTGGATAATCAAGCGGTTGGGCTTTTGGGTTTGTTTTTCTCTATGACCCGGGTGGTGTGAAGCGTAGAGAGCCTGGCCTGTAGGTGCTGATTCTTTTTTTTTTTTTTAATTAATTAATTAATTATTTATTTATTATTTATTTATTTATTCTTATGTTAATCCCCATACGGTGCTGATTCTTTTTATTAATTATATTTATGGGTTTGTATACTACCTCCATGTGGCATAATGGTTGAGAGCAGAGACTCTGGAATCCAGCTGGCTGAGCTTCCAGGCCTGCTGTGATCTCAGGCAAGTCATCTAATAATCTCTGCATCCCAGGTTTCTTACCTGTAAAATGAGGGCATGACTGCTTCCAATGGTAAAGCATATGTTATCATTCTCATAATGTTTTGTTATTTCTAAGTCGAGTGCCTAAGAACACCGGAGAGTAGAGTGAGGGTCACCTTAGAAGGTGGAGTGGGGTTTGGAGCAAGTTCAAAGGTGACCCATAAATTGTACTCGCATTGTTGACCTGAAACTGATTCTAAGTTTCCCGTCCTTTCGATGCCACTAGTCTGGTCTTCGTATGACACGTTCTGGGAAGTCCCTGATTATATCAGGGAGATCGAACGCTGCTTTCTCCAAGAAGTGGAAGGGCATTGAAACCTCTGATCATTGTCACAAAATGGATATTGTGGTGGCCTTGTCCCATTGATTATACCCCGACTGGACTGTACCACTCGGAAATTCTCGTTAGAGGCAGGTCTCACCCTTGGATGTATCAGTTATGACTACACGATTAGGCTGCAGGGGAGGGAAAAACTCCATGTCCAGTGGCTCAAACCAGTAAAGGATTTATTTTTTTCACGTCCGACCAGTCTGGAGGTCGGCGGCATGGGGCCGGCGTAATGGCTCCACCAGGCCAGCAGGGGTCGGAGACTCTGTCTCTCTGTCGCTTCAGATCCTCAGTCTGTGGCTTCGCTGTCAAGGTTGGGTGCCGCATGGTCACCAGAGGGCTGCTGTACCTGCACTACTATTTCTGTGTCTCCAGATTCAGTCTGTATATCCAGGAAGGGCAGGAGGCACAGGCCAGTGAGGTCTCTCTCTTTGAAAGAGCATGTCCAGGAGCCCCATCTGCCGGGTTCCCCTTGTGTGTTAATGGCCATGTGGATGTCACCGGCCAACCCCGGCCATAGTGGAGAGTGGGAAATGCAGCTTTTTTTTTTTTTTTTTTTAAATCAAGCACAGGGTTGCCCAAATGGAATGAGGCTTCTGTTAATAAGGAAGGGAAAATGGCTATTAGGTCACCGGGACATGAGGAAGCCTGGGGTGAATTCTCTCCCAGAGACACCCCTGGGATTGAAGACCCTCACACCCGACTCTCCCGGTTCTCACTTTATCTGTAAATGTAGATTTTCAGAAGTTGGCTTCTCTAACTGGGGGGCAAGCAGGTTAATCCGTACTGACATCCTCTTCTATAATAAATGTTACCATATCAACCGGATTTTCTCTCTTGTTCTTGCCAGCCTGGAGGAGAACCATCTCCAGGATGAAGGTGTGTGTTCTCTTGCCAAAGGACTTGAGAGGAATTCAAGTTTGAAAGTTCTGAAGTAAGGAACCCGTAAGCGGGAGCCGGGATGATAATGACTGGCCCGGTGGGGGGGTCGGCGGGGGGTGTCTCTGGGCAGCTTCCCACCTGGCTAACTCACCCAGGGTGACCTGGCAGAAATCGGCTGGTAGGGTCAGGGATCCCCCAGACACAGATGGGGATTCAGTGCAAGTTGTTTACCGGGGAGGTGGTCCCAGCACGCACTGGTGAGAGGTCAGTGAAATGATGTGGGGGAGGACAGGGATCCAGTAACAAGTATGTCATCAAGCAGTTATCACCCCGCTTATCACCGAGCCCAACAGCGGCTCAGACCTGCTGGGGAGCTCCAGGAGCCCCTACCCAACCGAGGAGCGAGGCAGCAGGGGTATTTAGCTTGTCCTTCATTGGTGTGCTTGTGGGGATATGAATTTTCCAGCACTTCCAGTTTGCCCTGCACGTGGCCGAGCATGCTCCGGGGCGTCCGTAGAAAGGCCTCAGGCAGAGAGTGGAGGTCTTCCCAGCAAGCAGCCCTCAGAGTTAGAGGGGAAAACTGAGGGCATATGGGTGGGTTGCCAATGGCATCTGCTATGGGGCTTACAGGACATGCCCCCTCTCCAGGGGCCATCTCTAGCTCTGGCAGATGTCTTCTTCCATCATCTCTGGTGGGTTCTCTTAGGTTATACAGGTAGGCGTGCTTGCATTTATTCATGTGTGCATTCATTCATTTCTTTGTTGTATATCCATGCCTACATTCATCCATTTATGTTTTGATGCAAGAAATATTTCCGGAGCGCTCACTGTGCCAGGCGCTATTGGAGGCCCCGAGGATAGAGTGGTGGAAAGAACAGAGCAGGCCTCAGCCCCCTTAGCTCTTAGATTCTAATGGGAGAGGCAGATAATGAACAAGTAAGCAAATACACAAGATTATTTATAATAAAGGCTCTAAAGAGAAGAGAATTCAAGGGAAAGATGTGTCAGGGAGTGTCTGGAGAGGCAGGGTTGCAGCTGCCTGGGAAAGGCCTCTCTGGGAAGGTGGCATGGGAGTTGAAACCTTGAATAATAAGAACAGTTATCGTTCTTATAATGCTGAGGTCTCAGGAATGCACACTCTAGGTGGCCCGAACAGCAAGTGCAAAGGCCCTGTGGCAGAAACAAGCTTGGTGGTTTTGGGAACAGCAGGCAGGGCGTGCATGGTTGGACTGTATATAGGGGTGAGGGGAGGGAGGAAGGGGCAGGGTGAGGAGGCCACATAGGCCTCAGAGCCATGGGAAGGATTTGGAGCTTTATTCTAGGGGCCTTGAGAAGCCTTTGGAGGATTTTAATCTGCGCAGTGACATGATCTGATTTACATCATAACAAGATCATGCTTGCTGCTTTGTGCCGAACAGATGGGGAGGAGGGGTAAGATGGAAGCAGGGAGACCAGTCAGGAGCTCCTGCTGTCTTCCAGGCGGGAGATGAAGCAGAGAGACTTGGATCAGGCTGGTGGCGGAGGAGAAGGCTGGTTGAAGGCGGGTAGGCGCTGGTTGGAGGTCCTGCGGAGGGAGGGTCCGGGAGCCGGAGGGCTGGAGGGCGGCAGTGCCGGCCGGAAGTGGTGGCGAGCCCTGGTGGTGGGCTCAGCGGGCAGGTCCCCACCCACGAGGACCGGGACGGCCGACGTGAGGAGGAGCCCAGCTAGGGATCATCAGGGGCTTGTGCGCGGGCTCTCCGAGGCTGGCGCCGCACCTGCCGGGGTGCCAAAGGTCTCGCTGGAGAGGGACGTCAGGGCATCCTCAGACGGCTCCTTGTGCGACAGGAAGGGTGGCATCTGCCCTGGCAAATGTGGCCCGTGGAACACGCTCGCCTTCAGAGGCGGGCAGACAGCTGCCTCTGGGAGAGTGTCTGCTTTGCTGCCAGCCCGCCAGCCACTCTGGCAACACTTGTTTGTATTGCTTTGCAGGGGCGAGGAAGTTGCCAAATGTTTGGGGAAAACACTTCCGCCCGTCACTTGGGTGAAACCGGGCTGGGAGGCCTGGGGGACGCCAGGACTGTCTAAGTGGGGACGCCAGGCTTTGCACATGGGGGGCCGACGGCATACCTGGTTTAGTAGTAACCAGGTGTGACACGGCACGTTTGTCCTCCGTCGCTGTCACAGACTTAGCCCCGTCTACCCTGAGGGCTGCCAGGTGATGGCAGCAGGGCTTGGCCCACGCTGCCTAGTCCAGAGCCTTAGCATTAAGCACCACTGAATCCATCAGCCCTCGCTGTTTCCCCTTCTTGGGGCGCCTGGGTGGCTCATTCAGTTAAGCATCTGAGTTTGGTTCAGGTCACGGTCTTGGGGTCCTGGGATGGAGCCCTGCATTGGACTCCCCGCTCAGTGGGGAGTCTGCTTGTCCCTCTGCCCCTTCCCCCTGCTTGTACTCTCTCTCTCTCAAATAAATAAATAAAATCTTAAAAAAAAAAAAATGGGGGGAGCTTCTTATGTACCTTAAAAAAAAAAAAAAAAGCCTGCATCCTTCTTTTTCCAGGCAGAGTGGCTGCCAAATGTTGGTTAAGTGTGTGGGCTCTGGCACCTGGCGGGTTGGGTTTGGACCCCAGCTCCAACGTTACCCTCTGTTTCTCCTTGGTTTTGTGCTTCAGTAGCATTGAGTGTAAAGGGAGGTAGTAATGGGACCCTGCTCTTCGGGTTGTGAGCGTCACTGGGGTGACAGAGGTATTGAGCTGGCACATAGTAAGAGTTCAGCAGATATTGGCTGTTATTATTATCAGCGCTGGCTTAGGGTCAGCTTCCTGGGTGGTCCTGAAATCCTGGAGGTGGCAGACACGTCGTGGAGATGTCTCGAAGGCCAAGCTCTGAGCTTAAAAAGAACAGCAGGGGGTGGTGGCTCTTCTCTGCTGTCTCTGACAGTGCGCCTTCTCCCCTCCCAATTGCCAACCTCGTATTTTCTCGAATCCATGTCCCTGTGCCCCCCATCCCCACCCCACATGAAAATATTACTGTTCATTGATTATTTCCCATCAGTAGAGTACGGTGCCAAATGCACCACAGAATATGCCATTCTTTTGTTTAAGTCTTAGACTCCACGAGGTAGGTGCTCTTTAAGTCTGTCTTACAGATGAGGAAGTTGGGATTAATTTGCCTGAGATCAAAAAAGATGCGGTGTAAGTTGGATTGGAACCCAGGGAGTAAAATGCACATACTTAACCCCCATGCCATAGCCCCTTCCTAAGGGAGTAGCTACCTAACTAGATACATGAATCTGGGGAACAGAGGAGAGAGGGGTGCATTTCCTTGTAGGCCTTGAACCTTTGTGGATGAGCTTGTTGGGAATCTCAGACAAGGGAGGGACATGTCAAGGGGGCAGGTGGGCTTCTGTAGGCTGGCCAACTGCCAAAGCCTCCTTTAATTGCACAGGCCCAAGAGGAGAACCAAGCATCCTTGAAGTTCACCTTTCAGTCTTTCTCTCCAGGCTATCCAACAACTGTGTCACCTACCTTGGGGCAGAAGCCCTCCTGTGGGCCCTGGAAAGGAATGATACCATCCTGGAAGTCTGGTAAGGCCCCTGGGCAGGCCTCTTTACCTCTCTGAGCCTCCCTTTTCCAATCTGTAAAATGGGGCCAGGAAAGAGGGGGACCTCATTTTCCCTCTGGGCTCTGACATTCTGTGACATTCTGCATGCAATGGATCTAATTTCTCTCTGGGGAAGATGTTTTCACGTCTCCAAGCATGGATCAGGTGGTTCATTTTTAAACCCTGAGTAGTCAGGAATGTTTCAGTCCAGGTAACAGTGTAGGAGGGGGTGTGGTGGAAGACGGACACGGACACAGGAATTTGGGGGCATTGCACCTGCCTTCCCAGGTTGGGGCTGTTGCCTCTGGGGGAGGTGACATTGGTGGGGGGGGACGGGGAAGGAGGTACTGTTGTACAGTGTTTCCAGGTCTTTATAATTAAAAGCCATGTTCTTTCATGTGTTTGAAAAAAACATTGAGTCACACCTTCAGAGATTTATGCTCCTTCTTTACAGGGATGTATTTATCACTCACAGAGTAAGTATGAAGGTTTCCCCTATACGTGTTTCAGGCACTGGGCTATAAGCCAGTCTTTTAAAACTAGGAGATTCCCCCATGGAAATCTATATTTCTGAGTTTTCTCCCCAAAGTTTCCAACTCTGGGTCTGAACAGAAAATGCCAGGAAGTAAGTAGAGTAGAGTAGGGCTGACCCCACTGAGCTCTTGCCGACTGCACACCTAGCAAGCTTGGCGTCCTGGACCAGGCCCCTTTGACTGCCGTATGTCTCATCCCTGCGAGCTTGTGACCCCTGCTTCGCAAATGCCGACTGACTGGTCCCTCCCTTAAAAATCAAGGCAGCAGCAACAATACGTATTAGATGATGAAGTTAAAAATGAAGACTTGTCGGAGTCTGCCCTGGGAAGAGATTTTTCTTTCTGTATAATTGTGTAATCCCTGTAGGCCATGAGGTCCTCAGGTCCTGGGCAGAGTGTGGGTTTTTGTTTTTGTGTTTGTTTTAAACCATTGCATGGTCATAGGAAATGTCACATTCTGCGTCTGGGGGGGCGGGGGGTGGAGGAAACTAGCATCATGTTGATATTTTAAGGGTTCTGATGTTATTTGCCGCCTGTTGGCAGAGCTTGGGAGGGCATCAGTGTTTGCTCATTGCATTCTTGACGGATTCTGCTGTTGCCTTAAAAAGAATCACCAGCCTTGGGGAGTCGGGGCCGGCTGGGTCCAGGGTGGGTTTTCTCTGCAGAGTCCCAGAGGCTTGCTTCATCACACGCAATGATTCATGAGCCGCCCTGGTGGACCAAGGCTAACACCAGCATGGGAGGGCTGCAGCTGGGCCCCAGGGACCAGGCCATTGAGGCCCAGGTTTAGGAAGTAGCAGCTTCCAATTAAAAGCACCACCCTGGCTCAGCACTCATCCAAACCTCTCTTTGCTTTATCCCCTTTAGGCTCCGAGGCAACACTTTCTCTCCCGAGGAAATTGAGAGGCTCAGCCAGAGGGACACCAGACTCTTGCTCTGAAGCCTGGGGGCCAATGTTTATCTCAGTTTGTTTGCGAACAGGCTGTGGGTTTAGATCCCAGGAGCTGGATTACATCTGGCAGCAGCCCATTCACACAGAGCCGTGTCCTGCCCAGGGAGGGCTGGCGCAATGGGTCATCTTTGTTCCGGCAGAGGAAGGAGCCACGGTGCCCTTCCGAGCAGACTTTTCTGCAGCCGACTTTTGCATCCGGTTCTTCCCACGATTCAGTCCATGGAATGTAGCAGAGGGACAGCTCCTGCCGCCGCCTCCAGCTGATCTGACGTGGGTCAGTGGGGCCCGTGGATGTTACTGCGTGCCCGTCACTGTCGAGACCTGGACCCACAGGAGAGGCCCCTTCCCACCTGCCTCGCAATGAGGAGGGGGACTCAGGAAGCAACTTTCTGCCGGGTTTTAACCCCTGGGTTGTCATCTCTCCAGGCTCTTCCCCACATCTGGTCCCTCCACCCATCCTGGACCCCTGCATGGGGCACTTCCTCTGTGGGGAAGGACCCAGAATACTGGTGTTCTCAGCTTTGATATTTATAGCCTCCCCCACCCCACCCCCCACACATACGCAGGGTGGGAAGGGCTATAATTTACCTGCTGCCCTTCCTGATACTTGACCTTATTGAAAGGGGACATGTGACAGCCATTTAGTTCCTCCAGCCATTCTAGATTTTCACTTGCTCTTAGCCAAAAGGCTGAGAAGCGATTTTCAAGAAAAATAAGACCACATTACAGCTAATATCATACGCATACTTTTATTTCCGATGAAATCAATTAGTCTTCAGTTAAGCCTTTGGAAGCCACTCTCCACCCAAATGCAGTTTTTTACAATCAGTCCGGGCCAGAATTTTGAGCACTCCCACCAGGGCTCTGGTTGATGCCTGGGAGCTGGACTCTGACAGCAGACTTTTCAAATATATTCATAAGAGATGGTTCAGTGTTATGTGATAGAAAGTTATGGATCAAAAGTTTATAGGGGCAAAACCAAAGACTTTTCCTTATAAGGCAGATATTTTTCTGGATTTTTTTTTTTTTTACCAAATGATGCATGTCGAAGCCTCTGTAAATGGTAGGTGCTGTACAAGTGTTATTATTTAAACATTATTATTTGTGAACACTGGTTAATATTTATAAGCCACTTTGTTTTATTCTCCCCAGTTTGTTTTTATAAAAAACACAACCATGGATTTTATGCTGTAAATAGTCACAGAGAAGAAAACTGTGGAGAGGCCCCCAAAGCTGTCTTCACTGTGACCAAATATTTAAAAAAAACATTCCTGAACGTTGCCAGATATTTAAGCACAGTTTTCTACTTGGAGGGGGAAGAATGATGTTTGGACCAGAAAATGTATTGGTTAGGGCAAAAGCAGTTCTTAGAAATAGGCTTGCAAAAAAACTCTCTGGGCTTTGGCTTAGAAAGGTCTAACCCTGCGTGAAGTCTGTGCAGGAGCCTTGTGGTGCCCCTCATGGCTGCAAGGCAAACGTGAGGAGGCCTCTGGGCCTCCCTTGATTCTCTCCCCATGGCTCCAGGAGTCTTTAGCAGGAGAAGGATGGAGAAGGTTCGGGAATAGCTCTCCTCAGCAAGCAGCCTCCTGGGTAGGCCTTGTTGAAATCATTCTCAGCTACATTTATTTATTTATTTATTTATTTATTTATTTATTTATTTATTTATTTATTTATTTATTTTAAAAGATTTTATTTATTTATTTGAGACAGAGAATGAGATAGAGCATGAGAGGGTCAGAGGGAGAAGCAGACTCCCTGCCGAGCAGGGAGTCCGATGCGGGACTCGATCCCGGGACTCCAGGATCATGACCTGAGCCGAAGGCAGTCACTTAACCAACTGAGCCACCCAGGCGCCCTCTCAGCTACATTTAACGAGCAAGAGCTCAGGTAGCTCCTCACCGAAGTGAGATCCTCTTCCTGGGAATGTTTTGTGTGGGCCTGGCTCGTGAAATACTGCGGCATCTCCGTGGGCTCCTGTGTGTGAGCTTGCCTGTGGGCTCTCTGTTGGTGGTGGTAGTTTCTGGCCAGTCCACTGTTCTGATACAGAAGATCAGGAGGAAGGTGGAGATCGATGGGCCTGCTTTCCCTGAGGAGTAAACACAGCAGTCCATGTGTATGGCGGGGACTTGGATTGTAAATTTCGTTTTCCTGAAATTCATTCAGCCATGATTTATGGGCCAGATATGTTAGGACCATCGGTGGATGAACACAACAGACGGGATCCCTGTCCTCAAAGCACTTAGGTTGGGGAGAGGTGGAGAGGTGGGCAGAAAACAAGTGAACTGGAAGATATAGAAAATAAGATCCACTGTGGTAAGTGATAGGAAGGAAATAAACAGGGGCGCCTGGGTGGCTCAGTCGTTAAGCATCCACTTACAGCTCAGGTCATGATCCCAGGGTCCTGGGATTGAGTCCTGCATCAGGCTCCCCGCTCGGTGGGAAGTCTGCTTCTTCTCCCACTCCCCCCAACTCATGCGCCTGTGTGCTCTCTCTCTCTAAAAAAAAAAAAAAGAAAAAAGAAAGGTTCAAGATAGAGGGGAACCTTCAGATTGGGGATTGGGCTGAGACACGTAAGCTGGGACCCTAAGAATGAGAAGGGTCTGGCCTTGCAAGAGTGAGGGGGCTTGTTCACCGAGGACAAGCTGCATGAAGACCCTGTCATGGGGAAGAGCTTGGTACATGTAGTAGGTTGAATAATGGCCCCAAATATTTAGCTCCTCATTCCTTGAGCCTGTGAATGTTGCCTTACGTGGCAAAAGGGACTTTAAAGAAGTGATTAAGGGGCACCTGGGTGGCTCAGTTGGTTAAGCATCCAACTCTTGATTTTGACTCAGGTCATGATCTCAGGGTTGGGAGATCGAGCCCCACATCTGGCTCCGTGCTCAGTGGGGAGTCTGCTTGAGATTCTTCCTCCCTCTCCCTCTGCCACTCCCCCCCGCCCCCCCGCAAGCTCTCTCTCTCTCAAAAAAAAAAAAATGTGATTAAGATGAGGATCTTGGCTGGGGTGCCTGAGTGACTAATTCGGTTAAGCGTCTGCCTTCGGGCTCAGGTCATGATCCCGGGGTCCTGGGATCGAGCCCCACATCGGGCTTCCTGCTTCTCCCTCTTTCTGAACAGAAAAAGGAGAGACCACCTAGGAGCCATTGCAGGTGAGAGGCAGTTGTTTTAACGTGGTGTCAGCAGAGGTGGAGAGAAGAGGATGGATTCCAGAAACGTTCTAGGAGTCGATTCCTGAAGGTTTACAAATGGAATGGATGAGAGAAGAGGGGGAGGGGAGACTCAAGGCTCCTCATTTTTGACTTGAGTAACTGGGGCACACCATCCTGGAGGTCAGGTGGGAAGACAGATGGGAAGCCAGCTTGGAAGTAGGAGGGACTTTGTTTTGGATGGTCAAGTTAGGGACACCTGAGTGATGTCAAGTGGAGACACCAAGTTATGCTGTGAGTCTGGAGCCCGTGGGAGAGGTCATTGCCAGGTTTAACAGCATGGATGTCCTCAGCCTCTAAAGGGGAATGGGGTCATTGGGCCTGGATGTCATAACCCAGGGAGAGATTAGGGAGAAAGAAGAGTTCAAGAGGGCCCAGGGAAGGGTGCCGCCGGGACCTGGATATGTGCTTACCGTCAGAGCTCAGAGTAGAGGCTTCTTACATTTCCAAAGTCCAGCAGATCCACCAAAAGCATTCTGGGGCTGGGCAGGTAACTTGCGAACAAGTTAGCCGACTTTCCAGAAGTCATTTGCAGAACAGGAGCAGACACATTTTAGATTTGTGGCTGAAAATACATAATTCTTATGTGCAGACAAAAAAAAGTACCAGAGCAAGAGAATTTTTTAAAAGAGCTTCAGGCTTTTAATTATATTCACCAACATCCTAGAAGAAAAAAAAAAAAAGTCAATCTGAGTGCTACCCCCCCCCCCCGGCCCCCCCTACATAGCACCAAAATCAGATACTGGAACGAATACACCCCGCAGAAAGTGTGGGAGGTAGAATCACATTCTAAGCAGGCTGAGTTGAGACTACATACAGCATCATTTCACTATTGCACCAACACATCTTCACGCCTCCGTCCCCACTCAGGAGATGGGTGCAGCCCAGCGGGTGAAGCACGCAGCGGTGGGGGCATACACTCTGGTAGTGCCCGCACCCAATGGAACACATAGGCTCGGGCCCTGGGTGGCAGGTTTCAGGTGAGTGACATCAGGGCCATCCTTCAGCTGTGCGGACAGGAAATCCGAGATCGGTGGATTCTCCAAGATTCCTTTTTTTTTTTTTTTTTGCTCTAAATTTAATCCCATCTATCATCACTTCCAGAACAACCCACAGATCCAATCCCCTAGGCATCATCCCTCCCTTATCAGTCACCCTGAAAATCCCTCCCCTCCCTTTTTTTTTTTTTAAGATTTTTTTTATTTATTTATTCATGAGAGACAGAGAGAGAGAGAGAGAGGCAGAGGGAGAAGCAGGCTCCCAAGGAGCAGGGAGCCCGATGTGGGACTCGATCCCAGGACCCTGGGATCATGACCTGAGCCGAAGGCAGACGCTTAACCATCTGAGCCACCCAGGCGCCCCTCCCTTTTTTACTTGGAACAACTTTCTTGACATCTTCAGTTCCTCATGCCCCCCCTCCCCATGTGCTCTACCCCACCCCCAGGAAAGACGGGCCTCCTTAGGGGCCCACCCTTACCTGGATTACTGCATCAGTGTCTTAACTGGCCTGCCTACGGCACCTGACCCACGTCAGCCTGTTAAAAGGTAAGTCTGATGAACCACTGCTCTGATCAAAATGCTCCGGAACTTGCCAATCTAGCCCAGGGTGAAAGTCAAGGTCCCCTCTTGGCCTGGCCCACCCCTGTGTTTTCACAGACCTCCCCTTTGCCACTCCGACTCCCGTTCCCTGCGCTCCAGCCACACGGCTTCTTGGCCGCTCCTTGACAACGCAAACTGCGTCCAGACCTTTGCATTTGCCTATTTTCTCTTACAGGAACACTCTTCCCGAGATAGTGGCCTGGTTGGCTTCCTCATTTACAGCAGGTCTTTGTTCAAGTGTCAGCTCATCAGGGGACTCCTTCCCTGAACCATTTACCTCAAATAGCCATCCCTGACCACTCTCTCCTCCCCAGCCCTGCTTAATAGTGTCTTCCCAGCACACACCACCTGACGTACATGTGTTTCTTCCTTCCCCTAGAATGTCAGATCCATGAGAACAAAAGCCGTGCTTGTTGCAGAGTCCTCCAGGGCTAAAATAGTGCCTAGTGCATAGTCGATGCTCAGATATTTGTTAACCGAATGGAGAATCAACCTGCCTAAAGGAGGCAGAACGTAAGAAGTTGGGGAGGATTATAAAAATGAATCGCCTCTTTCCCAACACCATTGGTATCTCCTTCCTAAGGGAGGAAGGTTTCCTGCCACATGAGATCATTCCTAATGTATTTACTGCCCCAAATGGGATTCCGGAGGTAGCACAAAGGTCCCAACGAAGAGCATTAGACCCCTTTTCTCTGTGGGTGTGTTTTTTAAATCACGCAGAGATCATTTGTCATTGATAACAGCAAATAGCTCAAACGGGAGCATGGATTTATAGTTCAGCAGGATTAGGGGAAAGATGATTAAAGTAATCCCTTTTATCTTATCAAAAAGAGCTTTAGGGTGACCAGAGTAAAAGCCCCCACACAGAATGTTCAGTTGTACCTGCAGATCCACCCCCCCCCCAACCCCCCACCTCTAAGAGACAAGCACATCCTTGGTATGGTGGACTCTCCACTCATCCAGTGATTGAAACACCGTGCTGGGCGGTAGGGAGAAAGCGCCCATGCAGTATCCTTGCCTGTGGGGACGCCTGGTCCAGTTAGCCCCGTGGTTCAGAGCTTATTCATTAGCCCCATGGTTTAGAGCTTATTCTGAATGCCCCTATTCCCAGGAGTGGTGGGGAAATGGCTGGAAGCATGGGAAGCTGGATGAACAGCTAGGAGTTGCCATTTCCTGGGATGGGGAAGGCAGAAGGACTGAGGTGGGAGTGGAGGAGCATCAGGAGTTCACTTTTGGCTGTGTGGGGTGGAGGTGCTGAGCAAGCAGTAGGACCTAAAATACTGAATTTGGTGAGGCTGGAAGTAAGAGGTAGCCTGTGGTAGCCATTTGGGGAGCACGGGGCAGGGTCTAAGAAATGATGGTTACTTGTGCTACTG